CAACACCGGCTCAGTTTAGTTTTTATACATGTATGAACACAGAACCAATTAAAACCACTGATAACAATTGTGTACCAAGGTAGTCAAGTCGGCTCTGTGGCACATGTAGTTTTGTCCAGACATGGGGGCCACCCACCTAGGCGATTCATATCCCATTGTGGATTACTATTTGTTTTTTGAACAATATATGTAATAAAGGTTGCCATAAAAACTAATCATTTCAGTGAAGAATTCATCATGGAACTGATTGACCTTGATATAATTGTCTGAACACTGAAAATAGGAATCTTTGAGTTAGAAACTCATAAATCAAAGTAAACATGAACAAGTACAAATACAAGAAATCCATTTAGAGCATGCAGATCAATACAATACTGTAAAATACTTTATTTAAGCTGGAATTATTTTTCGCTGAAAAGACTTTAGGTGTTTTGCATGGAATTTATTTTCACTGATTTTTGGCGAGTTTAATGAAAAATATAGGAAAAAAGGTATATTCGCTGGATTTTATTTTCACTGAATCACTCCTTCAGCAGAAATAGCGAAAATTTTTTTCCAAGCAAAAATTAAGTATTTCACAGTACAATAAAATATTTTATTAAAGTGGGAGAATTGCCACTTGCGCATGCGTCAGATGGCCATAGCGTGTCATTGTTTACAAACAAGCATCTACCCATGATCCTTTGCAGGTGACGGTCCTCCTGCTTTAAAGATAAATATTTTCATTCCATGACAAAAAAAATTGTTAGATTTTCTTCAACTAATTGTTGACGCAGACTGAAATAAATGTAATGTTTATAGTTTATAGGAAATAAAACAACAATTATCATATTTATTCTATAGTAGTGCAAGTGCTAACATAAATGTCTATGTTCAAAATATTCAAGTATACAATTAATTTTTTTATTTATATGCTCCTTTATTAAATACAGTAATTGGCAATCAGTTATTAAAGTGTTGTGAAACCCGGCCCACTAGGTAATCAATATAAAGATTGGTGGTCACAAGATTCTCTGGTACAATCCCTTGGATTTCACCTTTAATGTGAATAAATACACATTTGAAATTGTAAATTCATTTGATTATAATTGATTATTTGAATCAAAAAGTTATTTTATATTCTTTTCACAACTTTTCCAACAACTTGATGGGCAGACGTTTCTGCCCTTGGCAACCCCTGATCCTGACTCAATATAACAAATCAACTCTTAACTATAAATAACTGCTGTTAGAAGACATCTTTTTCTTAGAGCACATTTCCAATGTGCACATATAAGCCACATTTTCGTTTGGGTTTTATTACACTGAGATCTAACACTATGTTTTGATTTATTATTACTAACTTATTAAGATTTTTTTTTATACAAACATGTGCTTCTAATGGAAAAAATATACATACATAGCACCATCAAACCTTGAAAATTAAATGTTTACAGTACCAGTATATACTGGTATGTACTTTCAGTGATACTTTACAAGCAGGAACAGTGGGCCAATCAATTGAGGTGTGTATCAATTACATGACAGATTCCATTGCAATTGATGGTGGCACTTACTACATACCAATGAATGGTCAGGTGATCAATTAAACTTCAATTTAAAGTGTTGATAAAATGTGTTCATATTGTAATTTGTAAATGAACCAAAATGAACCTTGTACTAAATGAACAACAAGCAGCCTCTCGGCTGAGATAGCTCTGCTGTTAGCAATGCACATTTCAATTAAAGAACAGAAGATATCATTAGAAAATGTGTATCAAAGTATCAAACTTGCTGTTTTGAACAAGAATTAAAAAAATATCACTTTTTACCAAAAATCACAAAAATATTCAGCAAAATTAGAGAATCAGAAATATAATCTCGAAATGAACAAATTTGAGAGCGGTCCACATGTAGTACCTATATATTCGGGGGGGGGGTGGGGTACTTGCAAAAAATACTGACAGGGGTGTGTTGCTGGTTGTTTGAAATCCCTACCCCTTTTGTGACAAACTGATATTTGACACCCCTTTCCAAATAGGGTAAGCATATATGGTACCAAGGGAAAAGCAGGTGGGCTTGAAAGAAAAAATGCAATATGACGATTGAAATGAAGTTACAGAAAGAAAAATTCAGCTTCATTCTCCTGATTGTTTGATCACTCAAGCTCTAGAGACAGTTTTTGGAAAATATGGACACCTTCTCAGACAGAAATAATGAAAAAAGAATACCCCTTTTTAGACAGACAGGGTAAAATATCATAGCCTTTACAGACAGAAGTGGTGATTTTGGGAACCCTTTTGGCGATACATATACCGATAATCACCAAAATTAGAAAATTTAAATACCATCACGAAATGAACAAATCTTAGAGAGGACTATCATTTGTACCTATACATTTATATATCATATCAAAGCAATCAGACTTGCGGTTTTCAACAAGAAGTCAAAAATAACACTTTTTACCAAAAGGGATAAAAATATTCATCAAAATCAGAGAATCAAAGATGTCATCTCGAAATGAACAAATCTGAGAGCGGTCCACATGTAGGACCTATATATATATAATATCAAAGCAAGCATACATAAGTTAAAAATATCACTTTTTACCAAAAATATTCATCAAAATTAGTGGTAGAATATTGAAGATATCATCACGAAATGAACTAATCTGAGAGAGGTCTATATGTAGTACATATATATGTAATATCAAAGCAATCCGACTTGCAGTTTCCAACAAGAAGTCAAAAATATCACTTTTATTAAAGAATTAAAGTTATCATCATGAAATGAACAAATCTAAGAGAGGTCTTTCAAAGGTACATATACACCAAGTATTAAAGCAATAAGTATGTAGTTTTCAAGAAGAAGTCGAAAAAGTAAAAAGTTGACACAGACGCAGGACGATCACTCATATTATAAGCTAAGTCGACAGCTAAAAAATGAAATGACATGTTAGAATGTTTATGGCATGCATACACTGTATGTGAACACCACCTAGATATTTTTGGAAAACCAAAAAAATTTTATTCTGGCTATTTTCATAAATATATATACCACATTGCATGACATATCACTCAGTTCACAAGGGTACATGTGATTTTGGCTCAATACCCAGTACTACATTGGTTAAAAAAATAATTCGTTAAAAAACAGCTTATGCTTTCAAAGAAGACCAAATCTTACCAAATATTACATGGCAAAGTAACCCCACACAAGGCTAAAGTTTTATAAAAATACAATGTGAAAACAAAGGGTCAAGTAGTCACCATTTTGTTGAAATTGGTCATGTGATGAGGACCATAGAACATTACAACACATAATATCATCAGTGAGAGACCGTCTGAGAGAGGCTTAGGCTCACAACATTGCTAGGTATTGTTGACATTTCACCGATAAGTTGTCATCATGTACATAATTCCTTGGTTCGCTTGATAAAACTTGATTTCAATAGATGGTGCGCTCTGGACAACCCTGTCCCCATCTTTTTACGAGTGATTTAATGTACGTCATTCTATAACGTATAAGCTATGCTTCCAGTGTTCACATTTCGACAATGGCCATTACAAATTGGCACTAATGACACAGGAAATGTTTTATTAAAAATAGAAGTTGGGGGAAAAAAAGATTGATAGTTACAGATATTGCTTCTTTTAAAGAGACACACATGTGTATGGTTCTAGTCAGCTGCATGTGTGTCACATTACAGTGAATGAATCATATACTGAAATAGTGCTAACCAGATTATTTTGGATGACTAGAGGCACTATATAAGATTGTTCTTGACAGCAAGATTAAGTAGACTGAATTATTGACTTGTTAAAAAATGTCTCCCAAGGGACCAATAGAACTGTAAATGTAACACAGTCTATTTATTTATTTTAGTTGTTTGTACATTTCAAGACAGTGAGATTGGAGCCGGACAAATAGATTGTTATAACTGGAAGTATTTGATACCTGGGGCTATGTTTGCTGTAATCGAGATTACCTGCATACACTATGAATGATCTTCATTGTCCATGGTTGTATTTCTCAATCAACAAATTAGTGAAATGACCTGGACATAGGAGATTGGTATCAGAAACAATTTTACCCTTCACTTGGCTAAATAAATAAATTGAAGAATAAGACTTTACAATCATTATACTCATGATGAAAGTCTAGAAATTTTCCCCATAAGCTTGAGCTTTTGCAGTAATTCGATTTGAATTTAACTTTGTGAAAGTATGTATGGTAAGGAATTGGGGGTACAAACTCCTGCAGTTTAAATTAACCTTGACCCTAAGAATACAATTTTATGAATACTTGTACATTTAAACACCCAAAGTGGGAGAATTATGGTCAAGGCATTTACAGTCTATATACTGTCATTACAGTTTGCTTGTTTAGCACTTTGAACTTGAGATAACATGGCTGGTATTCGAGAGATTCCCTGTGTTATTGACAGTAACTAATATATTTTATCCCAAGCTTTGATCAATTTGTATGTTGCCTCTCAGAAACTGATCCCTGCTTTAGGGTCAAGCATTTTTGCTTGGGGGAGGGGGGGATTTTTGCACCTTCACATGATAGCAAGGTAAATATGCAACCTAATGGTGTTACTGGTATCTTTTTATTGTATTTTTGCTGCGTTACCATTTTTTATTCCTCCTGGGAAATTTTCATGTGTTCTCATGTTCTCAATAAACTTATTCGGTGTATCAGACACCAAACACTTCCCATTTCTCTCAAATTAATGCCTCAACCTTAAACTGAATGACCCACCCCTTGTGGACTGCATTATCAAAATGCCTTCTCAGTATGGATGCAAGTCCTAGTACAAGAAGTATCCATGGCATTGAACTAGAAATACCTTGAAATGGTTCACATTTCATCTTCCAGATGACAACCATTATTAGCATCCAGTAAAACACATATGGAATAAATTCAAATTCACTGAGACACAGGGCTTCCTCAGTTGTAAAATCACCAAGACAGGAAGGAGGGATGTTCAATTGCACACATATTACAACAATTACAAATAATACAACTTATTGTTTATTCTTGAATACAACAAAATGCCAGCATTAAAGTTGCAATTTTGATTATAAATTTATGTTTACATAAAATAGTATAAGAAACTTTTCTAAACTAAGCAGTGAAGGGATTGAAGAAGATGCATTCACTAAATTACGCGTATAGTATTTTAGCATTATTTCAGCTATCAATTTAAATGGAGTTTATTTTTTTATAGACAGGAAAAATTGTCAATAGACAATTTTAAGGGACGGAAAAGAAAAGGTTTGATTGTGACTGTGACAATCCTCAGTATCCAATGAAATAGAAATATTTATTGGCGATAACTCTGCTAATAAGATTAATTTTCCACAGGAACAATGAAATTGCTATTCTTTTTTATATTATTTTATGACATTTTTCATTTCATTTAAATACTTAAATATTAAAACATTCAACAGCTGCTATATAGTTGTTTGGTACATTTTAGATATTTTCTATAATTTTGTTCGTAATTTTCCACCAAATGAAATGATTTTCCACCACATACATGTACATATCTTCAGCAAATTAGTTTATGGAAATATGAAAAAATTACACACAGGTTTCAAATTGTGACAGGTGATGACAGTTGACTTTGACATTCAAATATTAAATAACCAAATTTATACAATGTACTATATTTGCTTCATTAGATGCGCATCTCCAATAAATGTGGACATAAACCAAAAATTGTATTTGTTGTATACTAAATCACTTATTTTCGACCATAGAAATACAGCTGTAATTTATATAGGCCCATACGCAACAAAAAGAGCAAATACTGTACCAGTGACATGGCAAAGTTGTGAAATGATGTTCCTAGTATACAAGTATATTGCTGTTCATTTCATCTTTCAAAGTAACAAATCTTTAAATGGTAAAAACAAGAACCAAGTATTCTGTGGGTTTGTGATATCAAATGTTTTTTAACCATTTTTTAAAATAAAATTAAAATAAGTACAGTATTGAAAGGGAAAAATCAGCGAAAATTAAGGTCATCAGTACTAGTATGACATACATGCAACTAGTCAAGAGTCATTGACAATAGAATATGTGCAATATATGCAACATATGAAACTATATTATCAATGTCAGGTGTGGATCCAGGCAGGTGTACATGTACATTTGTACCATACATGCTGTATTAGAAGTACATCTCTATACACACATCAATCAAAAATTATATTTATTGCATTGTTGGGTCGTAAACATTCAAAAGGACAACCATAATTTACTTAAGCGCACATGTTACTAAGAGAGAGAAAATATGCACTCAGACTTGCCATCACGATTCTATTTTACCTGAAATCACATAGAAGACTGGTAACCATGACAAAGTCAATGCAAAAGTGTTTTGTTTTACAGTTGCATTCCCACTGCAGAAGTCCCTTTACAAAGCCCAATGGATTTCATTCAATTCGCATAAATTCAAATCAGACTCAAGTGATTTGGTGATTAGACACCTTGATCTTCAGTACAAGCTACCAATATTTCTGGGTTTGTTGTCAAACCAACCAATTTTATTATTTCCATGGTGATCACAATAATCAGTGAAGGTGTTCTTCATATACTGTAGAATACTTTATTTTTGCTTAGAAATAATTTTCGCTGAAGTAATTATTCAGTGAATTTAAATTCCAGTGAATAGACTTTTTTTTATATAATGTACATTCAACTCGTCAAAAATCAGTGAAAATAAATTCCATACAAAACCCTCAAAATGTCTTTTCGGCGAAAATCAATTCCAGCTAAAATAAAGTATTTTACAGTAATACAAAGTGGGAATGCAACATTTGTGTATATATCAAGTAAACTTTTCTAACATGGCATTTACTTGGTGTGTACACTTCTAATAGCTCAAACACAGTACAGTACAGTACAGTACAGTAAACTGTATTCTCCATAATGCAGCAAATAACAATATAATGCTTTACTGTTACTGTATACAAATATCCAGGATAACTGATTCCAAAATGCATTTATAGCTATTTTAAAAACATTAACAAAACCAATTTAAAATTTTAACAAATTAAATATATCCAAACATAGAAAATATAATATAACGTCAATTAAAAACTTAGTCAATTGTTTTTTGAAGTTCAACTTCTAAGACCAAGAACAAACTATAATACACAGCACTGATTCAGCAGACCCCAATCAGTTACAATTCAATTGTTATAGAAGTGTCACTGAATTCATGCTCAAGCTCGGCTAAATTTGCATGCACCTCAGACTCTGTCTTGGAGACCTCGCTAGTTCGATCAATTTCTGAATCGCGCGACGAATTCAGCAGCTCAGTTTCTGTTGAACAATAATCAGCATTCTGTTGCTGATCACTTTCGCTACCACTTTCCAGAAGCTGCTCAATCTGTTCGGTAATTCCTAACGTTGGATGCAAGTCTCTTTTACCCAGATAATATAGTTCTTTATCTGGAATGTTTGGCTGAGTATGCATACTTTGGCTCCTCTGAATGTTTGTGACTTTACTGGTATAAACTGGACTATCAATACTATTGATGGAAACTTGTGAATACTGTCTCCTGACCCCTATAGATGAATTGGAGTTTCCAAGTTTAGAGAAAGATTCTTTCAACCTTTGAGGCAAACTTTGTTTTGAAGAGTTTGTGGAACTCATTCCAAGTTCCATCATAGAAACACTGATATTGTTTTGTTTTGATTCTACGCCAACATTTTGCTGAGACAGAGATTTTGCATTCCCATTTTGACTATCACTAAAACTGTTACCGAGTGATTTATCAACATTATGAATGCTGACTGCTCTACTGAACTGCAGCCCCCTATCTGCTAATGCATTGTCAATACTGCCACCAAGGCTAAATGTGGATAGAACACCAGGGCTGAAGTCCAAAGATGAATCACCCCCACTGGGGCTTGGCAGGGAATTGCTTTGCGGAGAGGTACTCATTGTCTTTCCGTTCAATCCAGAGGAAAAATCAGTTGTTTTATATTTTACAGTTTTGTTTTTTCCATCCGCAGTTGTAGGACATTCCCGTAGTTCGTGGTATGGATTGTGCAAGTAAGGATTAGCATCAAATTCCGGAATTATCTGAAGCTCATCCTCCCCGGATGACGAGTACTGGTATTTATTAACATCAAGCCCACTGATATTATGCTGGTTATAACAGCAACATTTCGTACACCAGCTAAAATTTATACTGCTATGTTTTCTTTCTCCTTTCCTGGTGTAACGAAATGGCTGTGTTGCAACATAACTCATTGTCACACACATTCCTAGCTCACAGAGTCTGAAAGTGAACTGGAAAATCCACCAAGGCCACGGCTGTGGGGCTTCATGTCGAGCATGTAACCCATACACATCCACCATCCCATACAGCTGCAGTCCACAGCAAAGTAATCCAAAGCTGGCAGTAACAAGGGTAACCTTTACAGCTGTACCTAAGCTTGTCCTTGGCTTTTTCCTAATTGGTCTTATTCCTGGTAAAGCATATACAGCTTTTTGTAGACTCATTTTTCTCATTTCTCTGAGCCTATGGACTGTAGAACTATATAATCTTTTAAAAATATAAATGTAACTACAAGAAATTAGAAGACCCCAAAGAACAAAGGCAGCTTGGCAAACAAGAAGAAGTATCTTGGCCTGGGAGGTGAACCCAACAATTAGGTCAGCTGAAACAGAAAGTGCAAAATGCACACAAATAATTGAAGTTAAAATCTTAACTTTTTGGATTTTAGGAGAAACCAACTGCATTTTTGTAGATTGCAAAAGAGCCAGAAACAAAATGCTGAAAGCAGATGTCAAACAAGGGAAAGCTAAACTATGTAAAAAATAAGCTAATGGTGCGGGAAATAACTGGCGTGAATTGTATGGGTCTACTAACAAATACACAGCTCTGTCAATACCCATCACTAACATGATAAAGTTCAAAGCAATAAAATATCCCTGACTAAGAAGTCTACGAGATCGAAGTCTGATCATACTGACAAGGGAGTAGAGTGCCAAGAGTGCAAACAAGATTCCAATACCATACACATGTATTTCCCAGGCAGGCCCCCACACTTCATTAATAGCAGTATCCCATTCTGGTACTGGTTCAGCATGAGATGGCATTTCTGGCTCAGGTTCAATTTCTGGCTCATTATTTGTGTCAGGCTCAGGGTTTCCATATTCTGATTCAGGTTCCACATTTGACTCTGGTTCTGGTTCTGTTTCTGTTTCTGTTTCTGGTTCTGGTTCTATTTCTGGTTCACTTGTTACTTTTCCTCCAGAAGAATTGTCTCTATCAACTGGTTCTGATTCTGGTTCTGGTTCACTTGTTATTTTCCCTATGGATGAATTGTCTTTTTCAACTGTTTGGTATGCTGGTCCAGATTCTGGCTTCGTTTCTGGCTTACTTGTTACTGTCTCTTCAGATGAATCATGCTTCTCATCTGATTGGTGTGGTAGCTCCGATTCTGGTTCGCTGACTGTACTCACAACAGAGGGAATATGTTTGGTTGTAGTTGATTGCTGGGTTGGTTCTGGAAAGGGTTCTGGCTCAACTTCTGGATCCACAACTGCTACTGGTTTGCTGACTGTTCTCATACTTGAAGTGGTGTTGGTAACTAAATGTTTGGTTGGTTCCATCGATGGCTCTGGTTCTACATTTGATTCTTGGTCACTAGTAAGATGTAGCACGGCTGTGGAGATTGCTGGTTTTCTTGTTTTGTACGTTCCTTTATCAGCAGGTGCGGTAGTCGCATCATGTATCATTGTTTCTGGTTTTACAGATGGTTCCGTAAACGGCTCTTGTTCATCAGTAAGTTTCTTTTGACTTTCATTAGTTGTCGTGAGTGATGGAGGGGTATACACAGAGAATGGCTCAGGTCTAATATTTGGTTCTTTCAAAGTAGTTAACAGGGAATTAATAGTATTCATGGATTCTGACATTTGTGTTGAAACGTCAGATTTTAAGACAGTTGTTGGTTTCAGTACACTGGTTCGATTAATACTTGAAGAAAATGAGGGAACTGAAGTGTTGGTGATTTGTTGTACTGCATCTATGGAATTTGCTGGTATTTCTGTATTTGCATCACTACTGAACATTCTTGATGTAGTTTCCGGAATAACAACTTTAATCGTTTCATTTTTATCTGATAAATCTGGATATTCTGTTACATGTCCTGTAGTGACAGACGATATTGACAATATATCAGAATTCAGATGTGATACTGTGATGGTGGTGGCCTGTTGAAAATGTTTAGTTGAAGCAGTATTAGTGGGAAGTGAAGTACTGATATCAGATGAAGATTTGATGTCATCATTCAAACTTGACATTGTGGAAACATGCGTTTTTTGTTCTGGATGAGTTGTATTATTCATTAACATAGAGCCTTGATGTTGATTAGTGATTTCACTCTTATTGATTGTTTTTGTGAAACTTAATACTGAAGATATTCTTGCACCACGTTCAGAATTTGCTGCAAACATAGTTGAATTTGTATTCCTATTTCTAGTTGTTGTGTTTCTGTTCAAGAAAACAGAATGAGTTGTCATTTTTAATGGTGTACTTGACCCAGAACTCAAGGATGTATCAGAACTCAACTCTGTATTGGTGTTTTGAACAAATTTAATTGAACTTTCTTTAGGACTCATTAGCAGGGCAGTAGACGACTGTAATTCAATCTCATCAGACACATGGACTCTTGACTCTAATGTGGGTAGTATCGGTAAAATATCAGTTTTTTCAACAGACTGCTGGCCAACTGATAATGAAGCACTGGAATGGTGTTCTAACAAAGATAAGCTGTGGTTCTGTGTACTTGGCATGCTTGAAGCGTTTATTGACACTGGTGATACTATATGTCTGGCACCAGTTGCATTTAGTAGACTTCTCCATTTTGATTGTACACTCAAATTGTCTTTGGTAACTGGCAACAAAGTACTGTGGGATTCACTTGGATTCACCTCACTGCTACTTTTGTCCAATGCAGTTTGATGAATGTCCCATGAAGTAATTTGTGCTTTAAGTTGCATTGTTGTGGGAACACTTTGCCCAGTGTCCCCATTCTGCCTCGTTATTTCTTCATTTAAATCGACTGACTTGCCAGTTATTTTGACAGGCCTGCCCCATGCTGTGGTCTGCTTTTGTGGGAGTACTGATATAAGAATGGTTGACCAGTTCTGCTTTGTTGTTGTAAATGTAGCAGATTTTTCTTCTGAATGGGTTGAATTCCTAGTGAACTTTGTATACAGTGAATCTGGTAGATATGCTGCTGAGGTTGGTTTTGTCTTATGAAGTAACACTGGTGTTGAGAGGAATTTATTTGACGATTGAGTTGTCCTATTTGAAGTACTTGCAGCATGAATGTTGATACCTCCTGCATCTGAACTATTGGTCCTATTTATTCCATGATTGTAATCAGCTGTCGGTGTTATTAACTTATTTTTCACATCAGATAATTGCACTTCATTTTTCCCACCATCACCAAGTTTAAACGATAGTTTTGCCGTCTTGTGTCTTTCATCTTCAATCAGACCATTGTGCAGGAACTTTGTCTGGCACTCAGCAACACTGAATAATGATGCTATGATATAAACAGACACTACCTTCAAAGAGACGTCTCTGCTCATATTTGTCAAAAAAGCCGCAGAATAAATATCAGTCTTTTAATCACGCCATTATTCTGTCACCGCAAAGTTGTGGTTCTTTGAGAATACTTGCCACGGTGTGAAGTATAATGGCAGCTAGCTGAGATCTTTAACCTGAGCGATGACATTTGCCCAGTAAAACTATTCTTTCTTTAGCAGTCGTCAGCCACCAGGTATGTGTATAACACTAAATAGATTAAACAAAACAAAGAATGAACATCAATGAGTACATTGAATTGATTTCCTGTGGTTAACATTCCTAACCAATTTATTCACTCAGCCCAAAATGTTAAAAACCACATGTGGCAAACTGTGACCCTACTTACAGCAAGGGGGGGGGGGGGGGGGCAAGTAAAAATTTAGCAATTGATTTTAAAGTAGCATGCGCAAATTACACAAAATCTATATGGCGCATGTCATAATTTGATAAACCTAAGGAATATTATAAAGAATTTTTATTATTGAAGCACACTAAAGGCAATCTGGTAGGTTATCCAAGTAATTGCTTCTGAATAAGACTAAAATAGGAAAATAAATGTGTATAAATGGGTAAAAGTAAACTGTCTAAAAAGGAAAAAAAATATTGCATCTAAAATGGGACAGTAAATCTCTAAAATCAAACAGTGAATATGGCTAATAAGAGAAAGTGAATGCGTCTAAAATGGGAAAGTGAATTGTCTAAAATGGAAAAAAATATTACATCTATAATGGAACAGTAAATCTCCAAAATGAAACAGTGAATACGTTTAAGAAGAGAAAGTGAATGTGTCTAAAATGGAAAAGTGAATGAGTCTGAAATGGGAAAGTGAATGTGTCTAAAATGGGGAAGTGAATGAGTCTAAAAAAGGATAGTGAATACGCGATGTCTAAAATGGGAAAGTGAATACATGATGTCTAAAATGGGAAAGTGAATATGTCTAAAATGGGAAAAAAAGAATGCATCTAAAATGGAAAAGTGAATGTGTCTAAATTAAAAGAATTGTTACTCGACCTCGCTATTTTAATATATATATTTTCATTAATTTGTATGTAACTTATTTAAATTTTTAGATACATTTTTAAAATTTTACTCACTGGATGGGATTGTAGAGGAAAAGTGACACTATTTATGTCAATGTAAAAAACAACTATGAGATTTAATTTTCCATAGTGGAATATATTATTATTATTTTTAATATTTTGAAGAAAAGACTGTTATAAAAATCATTAGCAACAATTTAAATATGTTCTGAATTAAATATTAATTAGAAAAAATCCATTTAATTTTAAGCAGAAATGCATTTTTTCAGGTACTACAAAGTTATTTAGCTAAAATTCCGCTTTCCATCAATTTTTAGCAATCTGTCGATTTTTTTGATTTTTTTCACACTTTTTTGTGTTTAATTCGTTTTTATGTAACCAGATTTTTTTTTTTTTACACATTTGCCAAAGTAAAACATTAATAAAAAAATAAAAAAAATAAGCATGATTTTGCTCTTTTGTTCATCATTGCAGTACCAACTATAAACGACAAGGGGGGGGGGGTAATTTTTGGGAAGACATATCCCAAACCCTGACCATAACATTAATCAGTTGAGGTCAACAGTATTTGCGGTCGCTACTTAAATTATGTGGCGATGGTGTGTTGATAACAACGTTTTGCCACACGAAGTAGTCAGAGGATTTATATGCACAACGCGAAAACTAAAGCATGAAGCTAAGAACATAGCTCCATGCTAAGACTGAAAAGTTAGTGATCTTTCGACAAGTGCTACTACAAGCAAGCATGTACTGTATGGTACGATACGGTCAAAATAAAAGAATACATCGTGGCAGAACGGGAGACGGAAACCAGTAGCATTGATAAATGGTTACAGTGGGTCGTGAATCAAACTGTGGTGTGAAATTTATATTTGTGGTCTAAAGTTGTAAAACTTTAGAGTCCTTCGTTGTCTTCATTGTTTTACAGCTTTGTGTACCCGGTCGCCCACGCTCACCAACTCGCCAATAACAACAATTCAAACGGAACTGGGACACTTTCATTTCGGGGAAAAAATCATTTAAATCCTACACAAGGCACCATTTATGAAACCGTTCTGTCTGGTATAGGTATCAAACATAATACAATCCATATAAAAACTTACATTTCTGCATTCTTCCTCAAAACAGTCACACACAAAGGCAGACAGAAGGTTGATCGACTCCGTGCTCCAGACTTATAGCAGCCGGAAATGACATCATCATAAAGTTGAGACAATAAGCAAAAGCGCGGGGACGTGATGGTATGTGGTGCGTTTAAAGAGGATTATTGACCACCTGACGAGAGACTGCGTATTTCCATTGAATAGTACGTGATACTCATTGTACATCTTTCATTCCAGTTGTCTATGTACATTTTCTAGCGCTCAGTAGTATTAAACGGAGTCCATAATGTACACCTTAACCATCTTCATAATAATAGTCCACTCCGATTAAACTTTACTCAGTTATCTGTTGTGATTGATATCAAGTCCTCACTCCCCAGGATTGCACCATGGAATAATAGGATACTATTGTTCTTGTTGTTTAAACTGCCAATTTGGCTTTTTCTCTTATTGTCTCTTTAATCCAGTAAGAAAATAAACTGAAAATTAATCTCATTAACAACCCCGCGCGTTTCAATAAAATTCACTGTAAATTAATTTTCTGCGAAAGCCTCGGGGAAAGCCTGGTCTGAGAAGTTGCCAACGAGTTCTGTGAGTAAAAAAATGTGTTGGAAATTTCCATTCAGAGTTTGTAAAACGGTCCAATGGAACATTTAGAATTTAGGCGAAATATAATTTTGTTCGCATCCCAAACTTCACTGGGTATTTGTTGAGTCCTTCTCTAAGCACGTCGTCCTGATATCGTTGATGGCGCTATGTGCATAGTCTTAAATGTAACGCTCAAACAAAAAGATTGTGTCCCGGGACACGGTTGCGTGCCTAGGATAATGTCTGAAGAAAATTGCAATTGATTTTCTAAAAACTGATGGCTGGAAATTTCCCGTCAGTTGTTATGTTCAACTTGCTTATAAAATGAGTGGGAATTGTATCCTTGTTCGAATATTGAAGAACTGTAAAGTATTAAAATGGTTCAAAAAAATTACAAATACCTAGATGAGTATATATATACATATATATATATATATATATATATATATATATATATATATATATAAGTGCTTTTCGACAAGGGGAGAAGTAAAACACACTGAACTACCTCGAACTTCTGTTACGCTACCACTTTATACATATATGCATACTTATTATATTATTATTATTATTTGTAGTTTTATATACTTTATTGTTCCCAATAATAAATTCTTTAAAAAGAAAATGGCAAAAAGCATTGTTCTCAATGAAAAAAAGTTGCCGATAAACCTTTAATCTACATTTAAAAACAATGTTATCCCTCTTTGATAAATTAATTAGACCAATACTAGTATACGGTAGTGAACGGTATCATTGCGTAATAACATCCCAACTAGACAAGATTAATGAAACGCAATTAATCAACACAAACGTTACAATTACAAGCACTAAACAACGACAATTAACAAAAAAGTAGAAAAAATTCATCATTCATTGGAAGAAATAAATAAATTCAGATAACACCAAAAATAACAAACCAAGAAAAAACAAACCGAGGACATACAGAGAATTCAAGAAAATGTTTGAAATGAAAAATGATTTAACATTGCTAACAAATATTGATATACGAGAGTCAATCTCTCAATTCTGTTTAAGTAACCACGACCTGAAAATCGAAACAGGGATCTAGGGAGGCATTCGGAAGCGAAATTACCCATAGAAAATAAAATCTGTTATCATTGCTTAAATAATGAAGTAGAAGAAGCCGGAAAGCAAATAAATGACTTCACAAATTTGACAGAAGAGAACAAATTTATAATGATAATGAAACTTTGTAATCCTGAATGACAATTGCATTGGCCAAATTTGTAAAAAAAAAAAAAATAGATTATGAGACAGCAACACCTCTTGTTGGCTTAGCACAACCACGATCTGTATGAACATTGTACAAAAAATAGTATAAGTATAGATGTAATTGAGCGTCTGATCTCTTTTTATAGGTCCAATGAAGTTAGACACTCGGATATCACAGAGGTGATGTCTGTGGGCGTTGTTACGATTCTTGGATTCTGGAAATACGCCCTCGTAGGGAAAGAATAGAAAATCTTTCGATAGTTTGATTGGTTAACATTTGAATCGGCGCCATTTTTGTTTTTATTTTTTTCAAGAAATCTACGCCTTGTGTCTCGGATTGATGTAAGTTATTGTTTTTTTATTTTGTACTTCATCAACCACAATTTTACTGCATGGCTGTTTCAAACCGATGTTGACTTAGTTTGACAGCTCCGTTTGGTCAGTAATGTAATGTAAAATGTAAGTACATATGATATGCGTATGTTAGCGATACGATGTATATGGTACCAGGACAGTGGTACCATGTTCTGACGACAACCTTTTGCATTGCACATTTACAGTGACTGTTTGTAAAATGGTGGTCCGTCCCAAATCACATTCGTCCGCAGATTCGTTCCAAGTTAAATAAATATAACACCTACCGTACAGGGGCCAAACGGTCGAAAGTACATATCCTTCCATGAATTATGATACCTCACAACAAAATTATTAGACTCTCATTTTATATTGTCTGTCATTAGGATGTCACGATGCTATAAAATTTAAAAAAAAATGAAATTAATCTAAATAACCCTCCAAAATGTCCAAATTTCCAGTATGTCATTTTCTCCTGAGATACTTAACCTTTAACCTCAATTTCTTATTTTTATAGCATTATAGTTCTTAGTCGTTTTGTATTTTGTATGTCTTAGTTTTAGTGTTTTTTTAAAGACTATACTGCTGTACCTTTCTGTGTCAGTGTTCTGTCAATAAAATATTATTACTACCGTCAATAACAAAAAAAAGTGTCTTATTCTTTATAACACACTGCACGTCTATAACCAGACTCATCTGAAGCTAGCAAACACAATAATCAGTTTCTCTTGCAAACCATCTATGTATTAGGATTAGGATTGACTGCAACATCAGAGAATGGAGTTAGTGCATGTTCAACTTATTGGCAATGGTGAACAAAACTGCCACACCCAAAGCCAAACTTTGAATGCGTGTACATGTGTACATGTTTCGAATGACAGTTAAATAAAGACTATATTCTATAAAAAGTCAAATTATATAGACATTGCAAGTATATCAAACAAAGTTTGATAAAAGATAGAAAAACTGTGCTTCAATCTGTGCTTTAATTGGCCTATCAAGATTAATCAACTTAGGATGAACCAATGTTCACCACTGTGATTGGTACAAAAAACAAATGTGTTATTTAGCTACACTGCAGTGCATTATGTCTAGCTGATGTGAATTGATTTTCTTCATCTTGAAAAATGGAGCTGAACCTGCAATAAATGTTCAAGGTGTGTAAATAGCCATGGCCTAAAAACAACAACAGAGAAATCAAACGCTACAAAACTGTAACTGTTGTTAGATGGGAAGGAGGTGTTTGAGTTATTATTATGGCACACTATGTCACAGTATGTTGACACTGTATCTGATTACTTGTAAAATGTTTGTCAGATAGTCTTGTTAAAGATATAACAGGATTACAACTTTGTAATACATTTACAAGTCAATACAGTGGTTCCAGAAAAACTGTTTCATAACACATTTATTGTGCATTTCATTCAAATCCAATTGAGACAACTGGTTATAATAATAATTCACGTAGTGTTGAATTACTTGTTCATAAAAAAACTGTGCAAACAGTGAAAATGAAACTGTATTGATCAATCGTAATATTCTTAAATGTATAGCATTTTTTTTTTCACCCCAGCATATTTCAACCATAATATCATGGATGAGATAAGTAAAATTGAGATGTTGAAGAATGAGTTAGAGATTGAAAGATCCAATGTGTACAAAGCTGCAGAACTAGGTAAACAACTGCTGGAAGATAACCAGAATTTGGAAAGTAGACTTGAATCTATGCGAACAGACCATGTGTCTAGAGTGGAAGTAAGTCTATACAACAACTACTAAATCTCATCATGAGAAAATTCACTCATTATATCATAATGTGTATGAGTGAGAGGATTCATGATTTGGAGGCTAATTATGGGCGTTTGACCCGAGAACAGGAGATCATTTGCCAGATGTTTAGGAAGGTAAATCTTCTCCTTGCATGAGGGCACAAACATTCATATTCGGGATGTCCTGTGAAATACTTTTTTTCGCTTGGAATTAATTTTCGCTATTTACGCTGAAGGAATGATTTCCTATACTTTATATTCAATTCGTCAAAAAACAGTGAAAATAAATGCCATACAAAACACCCAAAAAGTCTTTTCAGTGAAAATTAATTCCAGCTAAAATAAAGTTTTTCACAGTAATCTTTTTATCAGATGCCTCTCATATGATAAACATAAATTTTAGTCTCTAAACAAAATATTGACGTCACTAATTAATTAGTTTTGTGCTATAGCTTCACTGGACAACTAAACATTCTGTATATACCAATTTATAAACCGTGTATCAAATTAGCATGTAAGTGAAGGCATGTACTAAAGATAGTTTTGTTATGTTCATATTTTAAGTGATGAGGGTGCATAATATTGTATTGTATGTGTAGTTTAATTGTAGTTTATTTTAAAAAGCTTTAATACAGCAATTACCAAAACTGAAATGTCAGATTTCATTAAGGATGTAATAAAGCATTATTCTATTCTATTCTATATTTATAAACCTTATTCCATTGCAAGGAATTGTAGGTAAAAGTGGGTACTTTCATTGATAAATTGAGTAATACTGATGCGAATTACCGGTACTGATAGTTCAAATTTTCAGTGTGAATATTACTGGTGTATATAAATATAACAATGGAACTTAGAAGTGCAAATACACAATAAGTATAGATATAGAAACTGTGATGTCATACTTTACTCACAATACCTTGCTGAAAAATCAATACATCATATATACTGATGAAAAGTTGAATATCTAAAGAATGACAAGTGATATAAAAAACAAAATGTGAATTGCTTTCTTCTGCATTTGTGGAGCTCTTTCATCTAAGAGTGTTTATTTTTTTAAGCTTTACCGGTATTTAAACTTGCCATAAAATGAATAAGATACTTAACAGAGAAGTTTTTGTGTTAAACGCTCAATTTTCCAGTTGTGTATTGCTAGTTATTACATTCACTACTATTTATGTAGGCTTTAGAACAAGAAAAATACAGTCTACAGTTGAAAGTGACCACAAAAGAAAACATAGAACGGTCTTTGACTGGCGAGCTGGAACAAATCAAAGAACTGGTGCAAAATGCAAAGGAAAATGAAAAGGACTGGAAGAAGAAAGAAGCGATCCAGGAGAAGAGAATAAAAGAACTAGAGAACCAGAATGAAGCTCTTCAGACAGATCTAGAACAGAATAATTTGATTGTTGAGCATCTCAAAGAGACGGTAAGTTTCTTTTAAGTACCGGTAGTCTAGTTATATTGGGCCATTCCAGTTTATATCTGCACCCCCCTGTTGATGAGTTTGTGTGTTTACTTCATACAGGGTATAATTTCCATGGGTGTATAAGTCATACAAAGTTTTATTTCCAAATCACCATTCACCATACAGTAATGGAAATCCAAAACTATAGTTCCTACTTATGGTGTTGATGAGTTCCTTTGTGACACCATACAGAGTAGGATTTCCAAATATAACTTTCATCATATGCTAATTTACCAAGTTCAAAATTTTATATCTGATAATGGAAATCCAAACTAGTCCTGATTCGCGGTGTTAATGAGCTCATTCGTCCCACCATCATTATCTAATTTCAGTAATAACTATCAGTCAGAATTCCAAGTTTTTTTAGTCATACAGTGTTGGAAATCCAACCTTATCAACCGGTATGTGGTGAGATAAACTAGGCCATATTTTATTTAGTAGCCATAACTGCCTGGATTTCCAGAATTTTTTTTTTCCATACTAGTCTAGATTTCCAGATTCTGTTTCTCCATATTGGAATTCCGGGGTATTTTCCCCATCATACAGTGCTGGAAATCCGACCTCATCAACAGGGGGGGGGGGATGCAGATATATACTGGAATGGCCCATTCACAGGATTTAATTATTACTGATTGATCTTGCAAGCTTATCCGCTAGGTTTTAAATTCACTGGTTTGTGAAGTAAACTTTATATTCAATTCTTAAAAATAAAATATTACTGGTATCAAAGTTCTATGTACAGTTGTCGTGCCGTGCATGTTCAAACTTCATGTAAACAAACATTGTAATTTACATAAATGTGATTTGGACTGTACCATTATCTGAAACGGGGAAGGAGAACACACATTAATAAACATAATAAATACATATCCTGGCGTATTAATGTACACAATCAACATAGTACCCCGGTAAGTCATGTAACCAGCTATTTAAAATGAAAAGGATTTGTATACCAAGTTATAATTAAAATAAAAATTAGTGTTACATATTTCATAAATCTCTGCTCCCTGTGGAAATGGAACAAGTCCACTATCACAAGGCACAGTGGTTGGGGAAATCCGATAAGATAAACTTCTATTCAGTCTTTGTGTCCCAGAAAACACTAGACAGTATCATTTCATCGTTCTTGAGTGAACGAATCTGGCAGGTGTTGCATGGAATCAGAATATTTCTTTTTATCAAAAACTATTCAATTTAGAATTTATTTTGTTCTTCCAGCCAGTTTCATTTTGTAAATGCTGAACCAAATGCGTATTCCTGTAACTTGTCTGAAAAAATGCAGCCAAACACTTTGATTCCTACAGTTTGTTCATGTTTTGTGAGAGAGTCTAGACTGGGCACAGAATGCAAGATACAATTGTATGTGAATATGAGAATTATTTTTGATTTATTGCCATTATTAATAACTGTCGTCTTAGATAGAATATCTGCACCTTTTCTTCTTACTCCTGTTTGATAAATATATTAAACATATTTTCAGCAAGCCCAAGGTGTGAGGGTAGGATGAACTCCTACAAATAAATGGCGCACCCCAAGTTGTTTAGACTAATGTCCCAGTTAGCCATGCCTCTGTATCACCAATAGAGGTGCGTTTTGATGAAATTTTCATAACATTATACCATCTTTAATTCAAGTATAGAGAGAAAAATCCAAATTTTATGCAAAGGCTGTATTTTTTATTACATAGGTATCACATCAAGAAAATCTTGTGAAGGATGCAAACTGTAAACTCAAACAACAACAAAATGTTAGTTTCAATGATGAAGAACTTGTCCAGTTACATCAAGAGAACAGCACACTGAAGAATAAAATGGTACGTATTACCTTGTTTCTATGTATGTCTGTTCACACAGCTTGCTGCATGACATTTAAAATCACATATTCTGATTACAAGTATTACAAATATGTACAAAATATTGTATTACCCCAGTAATAGTCAGAGTTCTGAAGGTTCAGTAGTGATACGTGTGAAAGAAACAACATATTACGGTAATTCAAAAGGAACCTAATTGGTTTATAGAAAACAACTCAAGTCACTAGTGTGCATCACAGACCAGTCTTACCTAATAAAAATGCTTTTTTTGAACTGAATTTTGATTCTGTGATAAGGTCATCTTCAAATCCTTGAATAAAAAATTCTGTATGCGATTCTTTGACTTGATGATGGCGTATGATGCTGGCAACTCAATCAAATCAACGTTTGATATCTATCTTGGGATCACTGCAATCGGAATTTCTGTGACATAATTTTAATATTCCAGTTCTAAGAACAGCAGGGTTCTCTCCGCAGTCGGGCCACTATATTTAAACAATAGAGCAAAATTACCATGACAATGATCACAGTAGTGGTAATTGACATCAAGTTGATTGTTCATCATTTTAAATTCATGAACCCTGAATTTTATCTGCTTCAATGGTTTTTATTTCATATTTTAGTTAAAGCACAGTACACAAATTTGACATCTGTAACTTGGTAGCCCAACTTAGTATGAAAGTTGATAGAAATGTGATTATCCTCGCTAGTGATGATCCACGGTGATAGTCCTGCATCTAATATCTGAAGTGACAGCTTAGCGGTAATTATACTGGCAAAACCTTGTCTTCGATAGTGTGGTTTTGTTCCTGTAACTCCTATGTCGCCATACTCTTTGATTCGTGCCCAGGATATCAACTGTTGGTCTTCATTGTATATTCCTAGACAGGGCATATACTGTATGAAGTTTTGACATTGTTCCAGAGGAGGCTGACAGCCGTACCTCCACCCTGGAAGGTCCTGTAGTGTATGTGCGTCATCTTTTTTCAGTGCCGATAGTGTGAAGCCTTTCGGCAGTGATTGGTTTGCAACTTTTCGAACTTTGTCAGTATTTTTCAGTGTGTACATGTACACATTGGCTTCCAATTGAAATTTGAACCTGTGCTTTTTTGCAATATTTTCAACAATCTCTGTGGTAGACTCCGGGATTGCTATCCAGTATACTACCCCCTTTTCCCAGGCTACAACTCCGTCTTGGTCTATTAGCCATGAGAGTTTAGTATTGTTGACAGAATACAGAAAGTATACATTAGCTACACTTGCTTCATAGTAATCTTGTATGTAACAAACAATGCTGGTCATTTCATTGATATTATCGTTATCTATATAAATATCAACACATGGCCATTTATTGTTGTTTTTATAGCAGTTATGTACCAAGTAGTAGACGGGATAGTTGTCAGGTCTCCACTTTTCCAGCACTTCTAGTAGTTTTGGTACTTCATTAAACTGCACCTTAGTAGCCATTGTCTATGAGAAAGAACAAATGTAATGTGTGTTAATGTTATGTACACCCACCTTCCAGCATGTTTGTTTCATACCATATTAGCATATTTTAATCAGCTTTTGCTAACCCTTAGCCAGTGTACCCAATGGAACATTTCTTTCTCTCAAAATATTATGTCACTTTTGACAATGGCTAAGGGGTATTCTCACATTAGCAAAGTTTGACTTGGTAAAAAAAAAAATGATGTGCAAGTAATAGTATGAGGTTTATCTGCCAAGCTGTGAACCCATCCCTACAATACCAGACTTTAAAAAGAGGAAGGCTCCAAATCTACATAAGATAGTATGGTATTCACAAGAAAGATTTTCACCAGTTTGGTACATCCACCTACATTTAGTGAAAAATTACAGTTTAATAAAGTTCTTGGTGATTTTGGATATGATACAATAACAGCCAGACAAGTATTTTTATAATTTGCCAACAAACACACAGATGTTATGCAATAAACATAGGCCTTATTCCCAGATCCAGTTCTGTACAGTATGTCTTCAATAACCACATGCAAGTGAAAACCAATATTTGGCATGATTAGAAATTTTAATCAATTTTCGAAAACGGTACATACCTTGAATATATCGAAACACAACAGATATAGCCACACATGAAATTTACTCTTTATAAAGAGCATAGTCAAATCTTTTAAGAAACAATTTTATGTTGCAGAAAAAAGAAAACTATCAGAAAAGTGTTTACATTTAAAAAAACAACCACTGTTCATTAATAAACTATTATAGATAGGAATAATTAGCAAACTAATCACAAAAAAGCACAATAATTTAATTGAAAGATATATTACTTTGCCAATATTCGGACAATTCATGACAAGATATACAATACAATTTTGAGAAGGGATTTAATTATTTGAAGATTTGACCTCAATAAACATTGAAAGGGATAAATTAGCGTTGAGTGGAAACCCCGGAAAACACTAAACCAGTTGAAAAACACTAAACCTATTGAAAAAGACTAAACCTGTTGAAAAAACACTAAACCCTTCGTAAAGGGCAAATTATGGATATACCATGATCGTTCAGTTGAGTATTTATGAAAAGAAAGCTAAAGAAAAATTCCTTTATGATCGAGGCCAGGGCCGCAGCTGATTTGGCAGCAGGACGCCCTCTATGTTAGATACTAGTATATCGCGCCCCAAACCAAACATTTTATTTTATTTATTTATATATTTACAAATTATGAACACAGCAATTGGCATATTTTTAGATTTGAAATTCCTAAAACTACATCATGTCAAATTCAGTCCTTGTTGTAGATAAACATCGTGCACAACATCGTGACATGTCAGAGGAAATATTTAACAATACATCAAACCATTTACACCATCACACTTTACATACCGCTGGACGATTATGGTACACCCATAATACACCCTTTACCTCGGGTTTAGTGTTTTTATTGTCAGGTTTAGTGTTTTTCGACAGGTTTAGTGTTTTTCGACAGGTTTAGTGTTTTTCAACTGGTTTAGTGTTTTCCGGGGTTTCCACTCAACGATAAATTAGTATTGACCACACTAAAAATTGTAAATCATGTAAATACCAAAAATCCCATGATCACATAAGAATGTGTGTTTGAACACACACCTTCATAATTTTCTAGTGTAAGCAAAGTCAGGAGAAGTCAAAAGTTCAAATAATTAGGTCAAAATAATCTTTGATTATGTAAGATGAGATCTGCCAAAAAGTACCAAATTTCAGTGACTAGACCATAGTTATAGTCAACAGCCTCAGGCAAAATGCCTTTCAGGGCTCATACCACTTATTAGATTTCCAGGTTACAAAGATTAAAATATTGTTTTAATTTGCTGAAACCACATGTATGTAATAGAATACTGGTCAGAAAAACACATGTTGGCCAGCTCAAACTCCTACAAAATAGATATAAATAAAGCGCACAGATATGTCAGGTTTTCTACCTTCAATACTTTCAGAAAAAGCAGCAAAGGTTTTGTAGTGTCTAATTGAGTGTTGCCCAGATCCACAGGTCACCAGTTCTTGTCAGTAAACAAGGCAATACACAAGTCTAACAGCTGACGTAATTGAAGTACACCCTCACACATCGCTTTTCAGATAAAACACTGTGAAAAAAACTATTGGCTGACAACAATCATGTGATTTTAGGGCTATGAACACTGATAGCCTATTTGGTGGTATGAGACATGCACTTCCAGCTGATTAGAATCCAAGAGCGCCCTCTATAAGTTGTCACTGACTCATTCATAAATGCCATAGAGGGCGCTCTTGTATTCTGAATCTCCTCTTTCTCTTTTTTTGTTGTTGAAATGTTGCACTTTCCATTTAATTATAACTACTTGTCACACCTGAAAGTCTTCTGCAACCAAATATGTCTTGCTAAAGTTACCGTAGCTCAAAACTATGTAGACAGCAAGTAATAACAATATTATCTTTTATTTTCATTTGTTACAGTCCTCCTTGCAGCTGGAGTTGAAGCATGCTAAGGATACATTACAGCAGGTCATTGCTTCAAAGGAAAAAATAGAAAAAAAAATTTATTCTCTTCATGACGAGATGGAAGAAAAACAAATACTAGCGACTTCCTACTACAATGCACTAGAGGTAAATTATACCTGGGTAACCTGGTGTGAATCTTCATTGTTTAAACACACATACACGCAAACTTCCTTTTGAGTTATGCTTACATAAGGTAAAGGTGTACCTGGTTGGTCAATTTACCATTGGGAAGGAACGACTGCAGATAAAAGATTCCATAACCCAAGACCATTTTATTTGGGAATGAAGGATGACGCACTGCTCGTTATTGCGTGATAACAGGGAGGACGAGGATATTCACAATAATGGCACAGTTGAGGCACTTATTTTAGCAAACATCTCCGTCTGAGCTCTGTTATATGCAATAATGGGCAGTGCAGAGTACTTCATTTCAATTATAATACCTTTATAAAATTATAAAATTGAATATATATATGGTAGCTTGAGAGTGATTAGCATACATAAGTATTTTAGTTCCGAATGAATTTTAACGAGCAAACAACACATGTACAACATAAGTAAATTACCAGATGGAAATAACCAGATTTTCTTAACCTGAACAAATAATGTTGGGTTTGTTATTTAAACTATCCATACAAATGTGGGGAAACATTGAATGTTGATAAGTCGTGAACACACACACACACGCACACACACACACACCCACGCACACACACACCCCCCCCCCCCACACACACACACACACGCACACACACACACACACACACACACACACAATCAATCAATGAAAATGTGGCATTTCAATAATGGGCATTGTTAATGTTAATATTGTAAATAATCATTCTGTCACAATCATGGCTTTACATGAAATAGTTTGTAGTACAGTCAAATGACCTTATATCAGACTTCAACATTAATTATTTTTTTTTATAGAAAAGTCGTGAGGATGTGACAGACTTACAAGTACAGCTTGATATGGTTAAAATGCAGACTGTTGATCCAGATAGTAAAGGAAATTCTCTTTTTGCTGAGGTATATATTTTCTCAGCTGATTGCGGTTGTTTCATTTTATCATGATAATTGTCACATTCAAGCCCCAATTCATCATTTGATTGATAACCACTGTAACAACAAATAATGTAAAAATTAAATGGTATTAGACAATGAGTTAGTCACCCTGAAATCATATCACTTTCGCAACCATTGGCAAAGCATGTCACAGAAATGTGATATACTGCTATATTGCATTTTCCATTTTGTGACAAATTCATGATTTTTCATTTATCTCTTAATACTGCCATACATGGTCATGAAACATGAAAGTTGAATGTACTTTTTCTATAGATGTGTAATAATAATACTACGAAATTTATATTTTTTTTTAGAAATCCTCACTATGCTACTAATCTTCACATATATTTGCAGTTGTACAGTTATTGCTTGAATTGAGTTTGACTTGTTGTACATCATCATTTTTGTTTCATTATTCAATGCTACTCTGTAGGTTGATGATAGAAGAAAAACTCTGGAAAAGAAACTGATCACTCTGAAAGTTGAACACGACTCATTAAAAGAACACTATAATATTAAAAAGCAACAATTGATGAGGCTGAAGGTTGGTTCACATTAAATTCTTTTCATAGTCAAAGAACACTCTGTATGTCTGACTCGGTGATGATCATGTAACTTTCAAATTTCAAGAATTGAAGTATTATGAAGTTTTTTTTCACTGGAAAAGGCTTGTGAAAATGCAAGGACTATAATCAGCCTTAATACAAGTGGGTTCATGCCACCCTGTCTGTTTATTCTTTTAACAGATGAAATATGGTGCAAATTATATTTTGAACTTGCTTGCTGTATTTTGTTTGATGCAAAAGAAAAAATGCAATGTGCAAAATGGAGTAAAAATATTCCAAAGTCATACTACAAGGAACTCAGAAATGAATGAAACTGACAGACAAATATTTCTTCTTTTTCCTAATATGGCTACCGCTAGTCATATTCTTACCAGCATCAGTTATTTAAGATTTAAATTACCACCTCTCAACAAGAATTTTAATTGCTGTCCAAACACATAGCATGGTGCATTATGGTCTAGTATTTGTAGGTCAAAGTTCATCAACACAAAGTAGCATGTATGTAAAAGCATATGCGCTAAGGTTTCACGCTATAAATCACCTTTCAGTAGATGATAAGGTGAAAATTTAGAAGGGGTGTACAATTGTAAAGAGTTTGGAAAAAATAATTAATGTCTCAATAATGTATAGCCACTATGATACTGATGTTACTGGAAAAGTATGTATACTATAAACTGTTGCAGTATACTATTTCAAAACTAAAATAAAACCATTAAATTTTCAACTGATTACTATAATATGATGAAGAAAAACAGTTTCTGAAAAATTTGATGTGCTTTTATTTGAAGTTTTTATGAAACTTGAGTCTTTTTTTTACTTTTCTCTGAACTTCTGACATAAGCCAGAAAAACAAAAACTTTGATGTGCACATTTCAACTCATGAGTTTACCAGAAACATGGCGTAAGTTTCTTCCTTTCATCCGTAGGGTCAGATTGCTGCCTTGTTACAGATGAGTAGTCATGAAGCGGATCATTCCCAGCTACAAAGACTACAGACAGCTTTATCACAGAGCAGAGGAGAAGTTCAGATGCTCTCAGAAAAACTGAAAAACCTTGAACATTTGGAGGTGAGTTATTATAATTATTATAATACTGTATTTTCTCTACTAGAAGTTTGTCTCTAATAGAGGTGCATTTGAACAGAAAAAAATGCTGTTCTGGTTGGATTTTAAAACAACAGTGTTTTTATGCATTTTGAATTATACATGCAAGTTGCATACATCCCATGGGACTCACATCGAAGGAACATGATGCAGCTTGACGATTGGCATCCTAACTACTCTAAACTAACGCTGATATATTTACATCAAGTTTATAAAGCAGATTTGTATATAATTGCGTCTTTCCTTATGTGTTCCATTAGTCCCAAGCAGTAATGATTTTCTAATGTGGTAAACATACAAATACATATAGTGGAATTTTTACTGCAGGTACTTGTATATTTCTTGTTAACAATGTAGTTTTTCTAATTTACTCTATACAACGACAAGCCCTGTATTTCTAAGAAATAATTTAAATATTCATGAAATGGTAGTAATGCTTCTTCACTGTGTCTGGTTAAGTCGCTTTAGCTTGAGTCTTCATTTGATTGGTTCCCTCAAAATTTACAATCATTTTGAAAACCAAATTGTTCTTCTTTCAGGGTGAAGTTTCACTCAACAGAAAATTAGAAGATTTTCACAGACAGTTTCCTGGGGAGACACTAGGAGACAAAAAAATGTTTGTGGAGTTTTTAGAAGAACAACTGAAATGTACCAAGTAAGATTGAGATTGTCACAAGATCACATACACATTGAAATCAACAACATATTAAAGTCATGTTTGTGGTATTCACAGTGAATTGCATTATATTATATTAAAGTTTCAATGCAAGTTGGTTCATGGGTGTTTTAAGACAATTTAAGTCATAATCTATTGTCTGAACAATACATGCAAACATGTTTAATAACAATTGAACTTCAAACAAAAAATCTGAAGGATACATGTATGCTGAAAAACAGACATGAATCCTGTAATTCCTCACATACATCTATGTATTGCAACAAATATGTCTTTTCATTGTACATATACATCTGAAAGTACCATCTTAGATTGATCCTTCGATTAGTTTCATTGGCTTAGCTGCTGTTTCAGTATCCGTCAGTTTGAAGTACAGTTTTGTACACTGACTTTCTGATGCAGTAATATTCACATATGATAAATACACTTTATTTCTCAATAGAACCGAGCTAACTGATCTTAAGCAAGAACTGCAGACCCAAAGAGTACTGAGAATGGAAGCCACTGATAAGCAATGGAAAACAGAAAAAAGTCTGCACCAGACTGAAAAAACCATGGAGAAGATAAAAGCTGAAAATATGAGACTTTATATGAAATCTGAAGAGCTAAGACAAAAGTATGGTGAAGGTGGTAAGTATAGATAGCATCATTTATTTCCTGGTTATGTGTTAAGTTTGGGATTCAATTCAAGCTGTAAAACTTTATCAGCAATACTGTACTCCTGATCATAAGCCCAGGGGCCTGATTTTGTAAAATCGGGAAAAAGTAAGGGATGGGCTTATACTCGAGTACCACCTCAGAAAAGATGATTTTTTAGGGGGGTTTAACATTGCAACCATTTTACCACCCACGAAAAATTACCTAAATTACATCTTTCGTTCACCAGCCGGGTTTGGGGAAATATAACCTGTTCGTTTTTCCCAACCAACCTAAAATACCATCCTAAATAAAATGATGCTTATTATTTTAACCCATGACAAATGCAAAAGCATTTTTTTTTGTCTTTTTCTCTCTGTCATATATTCAGCTGAATAAATTCTAGTAAAACTTCTGGAATAAAAGGTTATATTTATTCAGCGACTATTTTCATATTTACTGTTAGAATGAATGGCAATAGTCTGTTTTGTGTCAATTATGCAAATAGTAATCCTTTTGTTTTTATTCATGTCAATGCTGATTGGTCACTAATATATTCCCATCTACATATGATTGGTAGCACTTAATTCCTTTTTTTTCTATGTCTTTAGATGATAGATCAAAACATCCAATTTTTTGTGGAAAAATTGAGAAAATACCGATTGTAAAAAAGGAGACTGTGGCCCAACAAGTGGAAGAAGATGAGAACAAAGTTCCTAGTACAGAAACGGATTGTGCAAGTGTTCCTGAGATTACTTTGAAGGAAGCAAACACTGAATTGAAAGATGGCAGCCAGGAAGAAAAATCTCATCCTGTTACCATGGTTACAGATGATGTCGACTGTAAAGTAGAGAGTAATGTTGATAACTTAGAAGGAAGAAATAAAAGCAGCAAGCGAGTGACAATGTGTGACACAGTTTCCGTGCTGAATGAATCCGGCACTGTCAGTCAACAGAACATTGCAGAGGAATGTGACGAACCAAGTGAAAAAACTGCCAAAATGTCAACACAGCATGATTCTGTTAAGTCAAGTAAAAAAGGTGGAAAAAAACACCACAATGTAATACGTAGTAAAGATGCCATGGTGAAGAACGAATG